AGGAAATGTCAAAAAGCAGAGGTCCAAGGACTGGGCCTTGGGTGGCACTCCAAAGTTTAGAGGTCTGGTAGATCAAGAGAAAGCAGCAAAAAGAGCCTGGAAAAGTGTTCAGGAAAGTAGAAGTGAGAGAGATATCCTAGAAGTCAGGTGAAAAAAAAAGTGTTTCAAAGAGGGAGGGAGAAATCCACTGTGTCAAATGCTGACAGATCAAATAAGATTAAATGACCAGTGAATTTAGCAACATGGTGGTGATTAGCGACCCACAGGAGCTATTCCACTGTAATGGTAGGGACAAAAACCTAACAGGAGTAGGTACAATCAATGGAAGGGGACAACTGGAGACAATGAGTATAGACAACTCTTTGAAGGAGTTTTCTTGTAAAGATGGAAACAAGTTGGCAGAATATGGGATGAACAATATTCCAGGAAGAAGAAATGGATTTTTAGAAGTGCCAAAGCATGAGAGAGGTAAGCTAGGAACTTCAATTAGCTCAGTCATTAAAGTGTAAACTGAGTAACGGGTTTGACAGAATAGGCTGTAAGGGAGGCAGAGGCAGAATATATTAAAGAATTTGGCTTTTATCCCGAAGGTGAAGTAGAATAACGACATAATCATCTTCACTTTTTAGAATGTTTTGGAGGCAAAGTGAGGATGGGTTAGAAAAGGAGAAAGACTGAAGACAGGTGAGAAGTTAGACAATTAAATCTTCGAAGAGAAAATTAAGGAGGGCCTGAATTTGGGGTTGGGGATGCAGAGGAGAGGGCATAGAAAGATAAACAGAGAAGACATTAGGAAGGCACATTAGAAAAGATTCCGTGGTTAGTGCAGTGGAGAAAGGCCAAAAGAAGGTGTAACTTGCTTCTAACTGGCGCGCCTTGCTAGGCGAGAACCCTGCACATACTCCCAAATTCTTCCCCTTGGAAGATTTCCTTCACAACCACTCCCAAGGTCCCGACTTGGAAATTTTACAACTAACTAGTCGTTCCGCAGGTTTCTTACCCATATTTTAAAATTTGAAAACTCCTGAGATTTTCAACATATTAAACTGTTTCACACTAAGGAGTCATACACGAGGCCCAGAACTTTCCTCAGACTAGGACAGATTTGGGGGTTGAAGACGGGGAGGAGCTACAGGATAGAAAAAGATGAACCCAAGGTTTTGAATACTACCTATCTTTGGCTGGAGCTGGCCACAGGAATTCCTTCTCTTGGAGGCCAAAGCGTCCGCTGGCACATCGCTGATCCTCCACCCCTCACCCCCTGTGTACGTGAGTGAACGACACCTTCGTTCCCCGACACTTCTCCTGCTTAACCTTTCCTCTTAGTCATTTCCGACCCGTTTTCACCTCAAACCATTACTCCGCGTCTCCCATCCTCCCTCCTCACCTGAACCCCTTTCTCCAAACACTGACTCCAAGGCTTGGAGACAGTTACTAGGGAACCGGAGGTGTGGAACTGCATCCTGGGACGAGTAGTCCTAACTAAAAGAAAGCAATGAAAAACAACAATTCCCAGAAGACAGTTCTTTTTCCTCCTTTTTCCTCAATAAGGACCCCCCCCTCAACCCCACCCCCTTTTAAAGACCCTCCTAGCCACGTGGCTTGTATGGGAAAAGCCTTTTAAAGCCATTTTTCATTTGTTTAAATCTACTATTTCGAGAGTATTCTGAGGGTTAAAATGAGACACAAGTTCAGGCCAGAGAGGAGGAATGAGTTTCACGCCCCAGTCCGGCATGTGGTTAGACAGCCTCTGTGACAGCAGTCCGGCATTTGACGTGGTCGCCTAAGAGGTGGGGCCTCTGGCGGGGGCGCCGGGAAACCCCGTGGGCCGGCGCGTTGCTTTCTTTTCCGATCCGCCGTCTGTGGTGAGTGTGTGCTCTTGGCCTCTCTCCGGCCAGTGGCCTACCGGGCGCCCTCTTATGTTCCCACTTCTGACCCCTCTCTTCCTTTTCCTCAACTTAAGGTGGAACCGCCGCCAGGATGCAGATTTTCGTGAAAACCCTTACGGGGAAGACCATCACTCTCGAGGTACGGGCTACGTGGCGTGAGGAAGTCAAGGCCGCAATAAGGGCCTGAAGTGGAGTCGGACCCGTGCCGCTTTCTGCCGTAGAATATGTTTATGAGTCTGGGTTCTGAAAACTGGCTCTGAATTAGTTGTTGGCTGAGTAGGGGCCTAGGGCTGGCTTTCGATGCCTGAAGTGTGAGCTATCACCTCTTCAGTAGTTCTGTCCAGGTAGCCAAAGCAGGGGGCCCGCGCTGGGGGGGAAGGAAGGCGCTCTCACCGATGGGCGCGAGCGCGTGTGGCGCAGCCGCCGCCGTCCGCCCTTGGTTGGGCTCAGGAAGTGTGCTCGGCGGCGGCAGTCCTGGGGCGGTTGCCTGCCCTCTGGCTGAGTGGTCAGCTCTGCTGGGTAGGCTCCAGCCTTCCACCAGCTTGGTTCTGTACTAACTTGCAAATTCAATTAGGCGTTTATTCTAGTTTCTTACTGTGTTATCGATACATTTGCATTTTTAAACTCGTAGGTTGAACCCTCGGATACAATAGAAAATGTAAAGGCCAAGATTCAGGATAAGGAAGGCAAGTAATATTTTCTAGTTCAGAGAAATTGACCTGTACTGGCGCCAGCCTAACTACTGGACATACCTGCTGTTGGTGGGGTGGGAAGAGGTCGGATTGACAAAGCGAAATGCTTTTAAAATAGTAACAAATGTTTGTGAGCATGGGGCCATCCAGGGGTGCTCTTCACATGTGTGGAATAATTTTCTACGCCTGCTTTTAGGAATTCCTCCTGATCAGCAGAGACTGATCTTTGCTGGCAAGCAACTGGAAGATGGACGCACTTTGTCTGACTACAACATTCAAAAGGTCTGTTTGGAGGAAAGAGCAGTCCTTTAAATGTAAATCTTATTTTGTAAGTTTTGATCAACACACAAAAGTGGGGGAGAATAACAGATTAGCAACAGATTCCTAGATGACTCCGGCATTAACATTTCTGAAACACTGCTATAGTTTCTCACATTCTGGATTGTGTAGATTGCATCCCATGGTGTGACTTAGTATGTTCTTAAATCTTCCTATAAACAAGTAGTTAACCCCCCCAAAACTTCCTTATCTGTGGTATTGTGTACTTCTCACATCCAGTTAGAAAGTGCATGAAGCCAGATGCCCCTTAATGGAATATGAGCATTAAATGTAATTATTTTAAAGCCTGTTTCATCCTCTTCCTTTAACAGGAGTCCACTCTTCATCTTGTGTTGAGACTTCGTGGTGGTGCTAAGAAAAGGAAGAAGAAGTCTTATACCACTCCCAAGAAGAATAAGCATAAGAGAAAGAAGGTTAAACTGGCCGTCCTGAAATACTATAAGGTGAGCCAACATAATAAAAATGTTTTTATCTGTTGATTAATAAATTTTGTTTGCATCTCTGGTGTCAAACGTTCTTTTTTTTTTTTAAAGATTTTATTTATTTATTTGAGAGAGAGAATGAGAGATAGAACGAGAGGGAAGAGGGTCAGAGGGAGAAGCTGACTCCCCGCTGAGCAGGGAGCCCAACGTGGGACTCGATCCCGGGACTCCAGGATCATGACCTGAGCCGAAGGCAGTTGCTTAACCAACTGAGCCACCCAGGCGCCCTCAAACGTTCTTTTAAAGTTTTCTTTTCTTTTTGGTATTTGATCAAGCTTCATATGATGAGGTTCACTTTTAGCTGCTTATTCCAAACTGAGTTCTGATTTTGAAGTCAGATCTGGGTTTAGGTCTTAATTTTGTCACCACTTGTAAGGCTAGACTTTTGTGGGCTCTGAACTATTTTGTTGTACTAATTACTAGTGAGGATTTGGAGTGCTTTGGTTTTTAAATACAAAAATCTACACTGTTTGTGATTTTAAAGTAAATATTTTTGAGTCCCTTAACTTAGACTTCAGAATATGTTGTAAAATTATCTTAACAGCAGGTTTGTACTTTATAGGTGGATGAGAATGGCAAAATCAGTCGCCTTCGTCGGGAGTGCCCTTCAGATGAGTGTGGTGCTGGAGTTTTCATGGCTAGCCACTTCGACAGACATTATTGTGGCAAATGTTGTCTGACTTACTGCTTCAACAAACCAGAAGACAAGTAATTGTATATGGGTTAATAATAAAAGACATGAACTAACATTTTGTTGCATTTTATTCCAGTGACTTAGAGTGGTTTTAAGTATCCATTGGTCACACCATTTTGATAAACTACATATACTTTGGCAGAAAAATTAAGATTGTATTTAATATCAACTATCTAGATACAAGCCAGTTTGTTTCTGTCAGTTTTTTATGTCTGCACTATTGAAATTTTGGACTAGATAATTCTTGTGGGGGCTATCATGTGCATCATGGCCTCTACACACCTGATGCCAGTAGCACACCACCCATTCTCACCACTAGGTATATCCAGACTTGCCAAATGATCCCTGGGATGGTGAGGAAGGGGGGACCTGCCCCTTGACCCCCATTTAGAGAAACACTGATTTGTATGAACTGGTGTTACAGCTTGCCTAAACAAAGGCTGTGACCTATTTGTTTCATACATAATAAATGTAAAAGCCAAGCTTTCAGTAGTCAATTAAAAAATATTCTGAGTCCCTGGGTGGTTTGGCTGGGGATATATGCTGTCTATAGTACAAGGGAACATTCTTCAATGTTGAGCGTGAAATCTTGGAATTTTAAACACTTTGTTCACTAGTGCTGTCAACATTGAGAAATAGTTTTGAGCAGTATTTGGCACCATATTTTGCCTGTGAGCTAAATTCAGGGAGGTTTGCTTATCTTGGTGTCACTCAATTAAAACATGAAGTTTACCATGAACTGATTATTACATTCAGTGGCATGCCAATACCCTTTTACCATATTCTTTTGAGGATTTCTACTTGGAGGCATGCTTAAATAAGGTTTCCTATTTTTGGAGCATTTTGACAAGTTACCCATGTTAACACTTGGAATAACTACTAGGGTATTTTTTGACCAGATGTGGTGAATTCTTACCTTCAATAAAGCAAAACTAGTTGCTCTATAATAAAGCAAGACTTTGTTTATAGTTTTTAATTTATTTTTTAAATCTCTGCCCAGCGTGCGGTTTGAACTCTTGAGATCAAGAGTTCCATGCTCTATCAGGCACCCCATTAATTGTTTACATTTTTAATATAATTTTAAAATCCTGGATCCCAAGAAGTCTTGGCTGGAACTTCTTTTTCTTCATAACAAACAATTTCATCTCCCACTTTAAATTCTATCTTTTCTTCACTTAAACTGAGACCACAATCCATTCCAGTTTTGATGACTGAAACGTCATCTTTATGGTGTTTCAATGAGGTTAATGAACCTTAAGAAAACACACACAAAAAAGGTACATATATTGAACAAATAAATACTACTAAGTGCTTATAGTGTGGTAGAAAGGAAGTTTTCAACACTGAAATTCTTAAGTTTTACAGTCCTATCATGTTAAATGATAGAACTAAATACTAGGGAAACCAAAGGAAAATGGTTTGCTGTAAACAAGATTTGGCTTATAGCAAAAGATAACTAAATCTCCCATTTCTAAGGCAGACTAACTTTGCAGAGGATTGGCATTATACTTGGGATTTAATGAGATAAACCTAGTAAAAGACTGCAGGTCAAAAGGAGGTAAGCAAATACAATGCTGCAGAAAAGTACAGAACACAGAGCTGGAAAGGTAGTTTGGGGCCAATTTGTAGAAGCTTAGAAAATTAGATTACTGATTTATTGGGATTATTACTATAGGTTATTATTACAGATTATCAGAATTTAGAATTTGTAAGGGAGGGAGCCAATCAATGAGAGAGACCAGGTTTGAGTTCCCAAGAAGGAATGGCCTGAACCAGGATAGGGGAGTGAAAGATTTCAGACAGTTATACAGAATCAGGTTTTGGTGACTGGATTTGAGGTCTATTAGAAACATTGTGATGTTGCTTACCCTTCCAAATAACATCTCCGTTACGGATTAATTTAAATTTTTTTTGTTTTTCTAACTGTCCCTTTTGGACTCTGCAGCCAGCCACAGGAACTTTTTTTTTCCCTTCTGTTATAGAGAAGGTAGCTAGTATAGAAGCCTCACCTTAAGAAAGAAAAGAACATTAAGTGCACAGAGAACAAAAGATTCTGAGAAATACATAATTTCACATATTCTGCATGGCAAGAATTAAAAGTGACAAAAACAAAAACTCATACAGAGAAGGAAGTCCAGGTTTTCTTTGACTCTGCCAACTTTATTTTCCTGACCACTATTAGAAACATAAACATGAGGGGCGGCTGGGTGGCTCAGTTGGTTAAGTGTCTGCCTTCAGCTCAGGTCACGATCCCAGGGTCCTGGGATCGAGCCCGGCATCACCCCACTCCATCCCCAGTAATCAAGGAGCCTGCTTCTCCCTTTGCCCCTCCCCCTGCTCCTGCTCTCTCTCTCATGCACGCTCTATCTCAAATAAATAAAAATCTTTAAAAAAATAAACATGAAATCCCTGGGTTTTCATGGAAAAGAAAACCACAAAAAAATACACGTTTGCCAAAAGAATGACAAGGGAAAAGTGGAATTCATTTTTTTAGCTAAACAAAATGCACTAGAAGATAATAGTTTACTGTTTGCTCCATAAAAACCTAGTTTTCAGCTGTCCCTCAATATATTTTCTCGAAGAGATCTGTTGTTACCTGACTTTTTAATCTCCCCATTGGTAATTTATATCCACTTAAGAGCAGGAATTCTGACTCAGCTTAATTTTTTTCACGGAAAATTAAATTATAATGACATGCTATCACACACTATAATATACCAATTTAGTGAGGTTAGTGTTACTTGGCTCCTAAAAACCCTTGTATGACTCAAAAGTTTTCCAAATCGCACTTAGCACAAGAACATACAAATCTCTGTATGGTCACATTTAGCAGGTCAGAAAAAATCTAAAATCTCTGGACCATAAGAACAGATAAAATGGTTTGGTTTAATCAGTCTCAGATAAATTCAGGTTTCCATCTGGCCAAGGGATATGCTAGAAAGAAAATTTTTAAATATGTGATACTTAAATGTAAACTTTCTTCTCATGGTGGATTTCCCTGCCAGTTTCCAGGACAAAAATCAATGGCTTCCTCCACAACACTATTATATAATCTTTATCCCCTCCCATCCCAGTCTAATTTGTACTACAATTAGTTGTTAATGTCTAAACTTCAGGACCTTTGTATCCTCAGGGCAGAAGCACAACATGTTGCAGACAGGAGGTGTTTATAATACATATATGAAGTTACACTGAATAGATCTATAGTAATTTTTTTCTAGAACAAAAGCTACATATTGGAACAGTGAAGGTATTTCAACAGTGATTTACATTTTCCCCTAAACTTTGCTTTCAAAGTGTTACTTACAGCACCTAAGATATGAATGTTTAACATTCAGTGAACACTCACCTATTGGGTACTCTTCCACAGTGCAGGGCAATCTGCTGCTCAATTCCTCCTGCAAATCCTCAATCAGATGGTAAATGATTTTGTGAAGTTTAATTTTTACTCCTTTTTTTGCAGCAGACTTCTGGATAACATTGCCTGCATTCACATTGAAGCCATATATAACACCTGGCAAGCAGAAAGACAATCAATAACGTAGCACAAATGTTGCATTAAACACTTTCCTTTCAAGCAGAAACTCAAATCTAAATTGTTTTATTTCCTTCTATGTAAATTAAAAGCGAGTAGGGGAGATGAGAAATTCTATCATTTTTTCTCATAAAACTTAGTAGTTTTCAAATTAATGAAAGGATTTTATAAGTTCTATTGTGGCTTGTTTAATAAGGAAAATTTCTTTATGATTTTTATTTATTTTATTTTTTATTTTTTAAAGATTTTATTTGTCAGAGAGAGAGCATGCGTGCATAAACGGGAAGGGGCAGGCAGAGCAGGCAGAGGGAGAAGCAGGCTCCCCGCTGAGCAGGGAGCCCGATGCGGGACTCAATCCCAGGACCCTGGGATCATGACCTGAGCCAAAGGCAGATGCTTAACTGACTGAGCCACCCAGGCGTCCCTCTTTTTGATTTTTAAATCCATTTAAGAGACAAAAGTGCCCACAGTGTGCAAGGCAGTATGCTAAACAAAACTTTTATTTTTATACTAGAGAAATAAAACAAAAATTGATTAGGGCTAAAATATTATTATATTATTTTAATAACTGTATTACTAAATTATAATCTTATTGTCTACAACTTTTTGCGGTTTACTCGTAAGTATTCAGTTGGCCTAAAGATGCTCAATAATAGGTACTTAATTGGTAAAGTTCAAGAGTTATTTTAGAAATGAAAGAAGTTCCATGGAGCTGACCATTTTACCAAAGAATAATACATTTAGGGGCGCCTGGGTGGCTCAGTAGGTTGACTGTCTGACTCTTAATTTTGGCTCTGGTCATTATCTCAGGGTGGTGGGATGGAGCTCCGCCCTCAGCAGGGATTCTGCCTCTCTCCTTCTCCCTCTGCCATCCCCCCTGCTCACATACTCTCTTTTTCTCTCTCAAATAAATACATCTTTTTTTGTTAAAGATTTTATTTATTTATATTTAATTGACAGAGAGAGACAGCGAGAGAGGGAACACAAGCAGAGGGAGTGGGAGAGAGAGAAGCAGGTTTCCCCGCTGAGCAGGGAGCCCGATGTGGGGCTCGATCCCAGGACCCTAGGATCATGACCCAAGCCGAAGGCAGATGCTTAATGACTGAGCCACCCAGGTGCCCCTAAATAAATAAATCTTAAGAAAAAAAGGGGGGGAGGAATGTATTTAACTGCAAATACTTTGGAGGGAATAAAAAAGCAAAACACTGTTGGGACTCCTGCGTGGCTCATACAGTTAAGTGCTGCCTTTGGCTCAGGTCATGATCCCAGGGTCCTGGGATCAAGTCCCACATCAGGCTCCTTGCTCGGCGGGGAGCTGCCTTCTCCTTCTGCCTGCCACTCCCCCTGCTTGTGCACTCTCTCTCTGACACATAAATAAATAAAATCTTAAAAAAAAAAAGCAAAACACTCTTGCCTTAAGTGAAAAAAAGTAATGCAAACAATTTAAGAGAAAAACACAACTATGTTGAAAGTCTTATCATTAAGAATTCATTCAACACACTATCAACATTTCATAGTATAGTGTAGGCCAACCAGTGCCTAGAAAATACTTCGAATTAACCAGCATTACTAAAAATACCTTTTCAGGAGTAGAGGTAACATCTAATTCTAATCAAGTCCAGTCATGAAGTAGCTCCTTCCTAAGTGATTCATTAATCACTCAATAAAATGTTGGTGCTTTGCTAGGTGTTAGACTTGAAGTGACAGTCATGAGTCACCTTTTTGTACTTTTTGTATATCATAAGTTCAACTAATAAACAGCCCCCCCTGCCTTCTAGGCACTTACAACTAAAAACAGTGCTCGCTTTGGAAGCGCACACATTAAAGCTAAAAACAGCTTTTAATCTAAGAGACATATAATTTGTAAAATTACCAATAAACAAAAAATAGGTAGACAAAAGTAAAAGATGAAGTACTGAAGAGGCTGATTACAGTATTAGGAGCATTCAAAAGTCTAAATAAAAGATAACCAACCTTGGATTGGGTGGGGAACTGGGAGGGGGTAGAGGACACTAATCTTCAAAAAAACAAAACAAAAAAATAAGAAACACTACTGGGGCTCAAAAGTTTCCCAAGGTTGCAGTACAGGGACAATGAGTGGAGCTATGGCTGCAATACTGCACATCCCATTCAGCTCCATGGCTGGGGCTTGACTACAGCAGGAGGGGTATGCTCATAAGGGTAAATGGCAGACTGACTAGCCAACCAACAAAAGACAGAAGCAAATGGTTCACAGTGTGTTCTAGGGAACACAGTTAAACAAATAGGAAAGAGAATCCTTACCACGAAATGTTTCAGCAAGGTTAATATCATTTTCACTGACATCACCCACACCAAAATGTACTAATTCAAGTTTACACTCATGTGAAGCGTCATAGGTATCCATAATGTTCACAATAGCCTCGACGGAACCATCAACATCACCTAAATGCAGAAGTTTAAAATTACCGGTGTTAAGAGGCATTAACAGACACAAAAACGACAAAAATCTATTTAAAGCTATAACAGAAATGCGATTTACCTAAATCCACTTTTATTTAGGTTTAGCATTATAAATGTCTATTTAACTTTAAATAAAGTATAATGAACCAAATGTACAGTACATTTACAACAAAATCAGCAAAAAAAATGTTTATTAAAATCTCCCCCAGTGAGGGATGGGCAAAAAGGGTGAAGGAGGGCAAGGGTACAAACTTCCAGTTACAAAATAAGTAAAAGTCATGGGATATAATGTACAGTATAGCGACTATATTAATAATACTGTATTACATATTGGAAAGTTGCTAAGAGGGTAGATCTTAAAAGTTCTTATCACAAGAAAAAATTTTATAACTATGTATGATGACGGATGTTAGCTAGACAAACTGTGGTGGTCATTTTGCAATATTTACTAATATCAAATCATTATGTTGTACACCTGACACTAACATAATGTTATATGTCAATTATACCTCAATTAAAAGAAAAATCTCCCCCTGGGGCACCTGGGTGACACAGTTGGTTAAGCATCGGACCCTTGGTTTTAGCTCGGGTCATGGGATCCAGGCATATGTTGGGCTCTGAGCTCAGCGCAGAACCTGCTTTAGTTTCTCTCTGCCTCTCCCCTGCTTTCTGTTTCTCTCTCAAATAAATAATCTTAAAAAAAAAAAAAACTCTCCCTAAATGCCAAAATAATTTTAGCTTAAATTTAATGGCCCAAATTAATTGTGAGAAGAAACACATATATTACATATATTCCAGATATGAGTTGTAAAGTACAATCTTTCCAAAGTCACCTTTAATAATTATAGGAAGTATGTGTGAATCCCCTTCTTCTTTCTCTTTCGACTTTAAATGTTTTTGTTCTTTTTTTTCTTGGTACTTTAGAAATGATCTCTGCTTCCAGTGCATATTGCCATACTTCTCACGGGCTTTCTGATGTGCTTCTTGGTGTTCCTTTCGCTTTTCTTCTATTATTTTCAGATCCTCTTTATTTTTCTCCTGTTCTCGCTCATACTTCCTCCAGTCAACAACTGCGCGTGCCCTTGGCTTTACAGGGAAAAAACAGGCATTATTTAACTAAATAGAAACCAGTAACTTATAGGTTAAAAGCTTTGTGTTTTTCCTCAACTTAGCTTAGCTTAACTCATACATGAAACCACTAATTTTATAAAAATTTCAAGAAACTTATAAAACTTTAATCTGGGGGGCTTTGTGTATAACAGATGATTTAATTTAAAAATATTAGCTCAAATTTTTAAAATTCTGTAGCCAAATTCTGAAATGGCACTACTGGCCCCCTCACAAGCCCTTACAATCTACAATTATTTGTTAACATAAATATACTTATTTGGTATAACATTATAGATTAATATTAAAATCACTGTATCATATCTAATATATAGGAATTAAACTTGATATACCTCGGATTCTACTTCAAGAATTTCATCTCCTGCAGAAGGGAGGTCTCTCCAGCCTACAATTCCCACTGGCATGCTGGGACAGGCCTCATGGATTGTTTTTCCATTCTCATCAAACATTAAGCGTACTTTTGCCCAACTCTTTCCAGCAACCAGAATTGAGCCTTTCCTCAAAGTTCCTCTTTGAATTATAGCTGTAGTAACAGGACTAAAAGGAAAACAAATGTATATATTCTTAATGCCATAATCAGGATGTAAGAACACTTTCTTAAGTAGAGCAAAGATATCTTTATGAGACTTAACTATATATAATATGAACACACAGGGTTAATCCCACTTCTTAAGCAGGTTTTCATACTATAAAAACATTTCTACTTAATTGCCAAAAGGTGGAAGCAAACCAAATGTCCATCAACTGAAGAATAAAGAAAATGCAGTGTGTATATATATATATATACACACACACACACACATATACATACACACACACACAATGGAAAATTATGCCAGCTTAAAAAGAAGGAAAGCCCTGTCATATGCTCCAACATGAGTGAACCTACCTCAAGGACATTATGCTAAGTGAAATAAGCCAGTCAAAAAGGACAAACACCTTATGATTCTATTCATATGAAGTATTTAAAGTAGTCAAAATCAGAGAAACAGAGAATTGAAAGATAGTTCTAAGGGTTGGGGAAGGAAGGAGGGATAAATTAGTGTTTCATGGATATACGATTTCAGTTTTACAGAATTAAAAAGTTCTAGAGATCTGTTGTACAACAATGTGAATATACTTAATACTACTGAACTATACACTTAAAAATGGTTAAGATGGTAAATATAATGTTATGCTTTTATCACAATTTTTTTTTTAATGGAAAAACAAAAACCATTTCTATAAGCTTATGGTAGTGGAGGGTGCAGATAGCTGAGTATTCTGACAGAATCCTAATCCTCTTTCTGTAACTAATTTGTTAAGCAGTGAAACTTCTTGCTGATAGGAAGAAAAATTAAAGAAGAGAAGAGCAATCCTTGGGCGCCTGGGTGGCTCAGTTGGTTAAGCGACTGCCTTCGGCTCAGGTCATGATCCTGGAGTCCCGGGATTGAGTCCCGCATCAGGCTCCCTGCTCAGCGAGGAACCTGCTTCTCCTCCCTCTGGCCCTCCTTCCTCTCATGTGCTCTCTCTCTCTCTCTCTCATTCTCACTCTCTCAAAATAAATAAATAAATCTTAAAAAAAAAATAAAAGCTTTAAAAAAAAAAAAAAAGAAGAGCAATCCAAAGACCTTCCCATATATTATATTAATGGGGAAGGACATAAAGAATTTAGGAACCCTAAAATGTAACAATTGCTATTTCATTCCAATTTGTTGGTCCATGAGGCTTTATTTACCAATTCAGTTAAGTCAGTGGGGAAAAAAAAATTCAAACTGAACTACTTACATCATCTAAATGTGACTAGTAGATATATACAGAGAGTTGCTATGGTCTACTGATAAATGCATTTTTTGTTCTGTGTGCTAGTGCAATAAAATGTTTTCAAAACAAATGCTTTGAAAATACTGTTCATGTCTAACAATAATATACAATAAAAATAATAAAGTGTTATATAATCAAGTCATAAAAACAATGAAACAAAATTATTAAAAAGCAAGCATTTTAACAGTCCTACCCTCTTCCTTTGTCTGTGAAAGATTCTATTACTGTTCCTTCTACTGGACCAGTGGGGTCTGCTTTCAATTCTAACATTTCTGCCAAAGCAATCGTTGCCTCTGCCAAAGCCATCAGATTATCACCCTTTAACAAAAAAAAGGTGTTAATATACAATAATAAAATATTATCTGTAAATTTATAAACCAGGGTCAGAAAGCAAAATAATCCTTTACAGTTATATTATACTTTTCTCTTTAAGCATTAAAAGCATGAATCAATCATCCAATTAGAAAGGAAACAAGGAAAGGAGGGAGGGAGGGAGGAAAGAACAAAGGAAGGAAAAGCAAGAAGACCTGATCGAGGGACAGATCTTTCAAGGAAGAATGGCTATTTTATTAAAAGGATGGCCACTAGTGGTGCTCCTTACTACCCTTTCATAAACACATGCTTCATTCATTCTCTCTCCTCCATCTGTCTCTACAATTGTGTCTTCTTCCTCTCATTTTCTTAAAATGCTACTCTGCATTTGAAGTTTATCCAACTGAGCAAGCTTTCACACCTATTATTTCATTTGATCAACTTAAGAGTGCTATAAAATAAATAAATCAAACATTACTTACTCTTATTAAATAAATAAGGAGAAAAAATATGGACCAGACCCAGGCTTTAAGACATGCTCTGTAATCACCAAGCTGTACAACCTTGAAGAATCACTCCTCCCTGGATCTTCTTTCCTCAATTGTAAAATGAGGAAGCTAGATTAGATGATTTGTTTCATGTTTAATGATCTATGTTTACTATGCTTTCTAGGGCTCCAAGATCACACAGCTAATTAAGTGGTGACGGAGCTGGAACTGATAGGGCAAGGGATTTTTCCATTCTCTGTGTCAGCGAAGAGATTGCTCAGTTGTCAGAGTATAAGACAATGGGGACAAGTGTAAACAAAGCCGATGAAATACCTTGCTCACCTATCCACTTGTTACTAGTTATTTATTCCAATTTACAAAATGCTACCCTGAAAAGCAGAGCTGGGGTGTTTCTTTGCATGACGCGTCCTCTATTTCTACTTGGAAAAAAAGGCCTCATCTTACTTCCTGCCACTCCCTCCCAATTCCCTCCACTTCCCAGGAATCGTCTCTGCCACGCCTCCAAGTCTGCCTAAGCAGCTTTACATTTATCTACTCATCTCTGTTACCTGGGCAGAAAAGGTGACCATGTCTTCAAATGTTTTAATCTTGCCATGTGGCATTCAGAGTACAACAGCACTTGGGGTATAGTGGAAAGATAAAGCAAGGTGGCCTTTTATGAGTTTCAGAAAAAAAGAGGCAAGGCTTTACTATTAATGGAGGAATGATTGCTAAGCATCTTAGAGGTAACAAATTTAGGAAAACTGAGACCTAACTAGAGGAAGGTGGCCAAATATAGTACCATCCTGTCAGTGAATGATGAGGAAAAAAAAAAGTTTTATATATTATGTATAAACCATGGAATATGGTAAGAATGGACAAAAAAGGAAACTGTTACTTAGCAGCAACCTGTATAGGCTAAGAGAATTGGAAAATGCTGTCACAAAGGAGGTACTTAGCTTCCTTGGTGTTTTTCAATCAGAAAATAATAACTGGTCATTTAAAAGAAAATGGAATTCATCATAAATAACATAAAACTTATAGCAATTTAATTCATAGAAACATTGAATCAATCAGTAACAAACTGAACCTAAATGTTTTATCTTTGTATTAGTGAAGTTTTTGTTTAAATCTCCCTTAAATGCCCTAAGACCTATTCTGCATTTTTTCACTATAAAAACAAGTACTTTTTATTACAAATTGGATTTCATTTCTGCTTAAAACAGTCTTTAGCAGCTTACTGTTACCCTATCCTCACATCGTTTACTATTTGTTCTCATTCTAAGTATCCCATAATAAGAAAAGCATTACGTCTGTACTTCATCCCCCACTGTCCAGCTGTGGAATCCTAGACTGGTGACTAACCTTTCTGAGCCTACTTTCTAATCTGCCAAACCAAGATAATGATACCAGCTTTGCCTAATACTACAGAAGACTTTTAAACAACAACAGAAACGCTATGTGTCAAGATGTTGTTTCTGTGCACTACGTGCGTTAGGGACAGCAGGCCCATCTGAATACATCATCTCTGAGGTGTCTGCATTTACCGTGAGCGCAGAGATGTGCACTGCTTGGACATCACCTCCATAATCCTCACAGACCACATCATAAGCTAGCAGTTCTTTTTTCACTTTTTCAGGATCAGCCTCAGCTTTGTCACATTTGTTTATGGCAAGGACGACAGGAACTGAAAGAGAGTTAAAAAAAGTGCAGATGAGGAAACCTTCGATACCAGGTAGTGAAAGACACCAACCTTTTCTGGCTTTCTCTTTACCCAGTAGATGTACTAAACTAAAAGAAAGACCTGAAAAAAACCTGCTTTAGCGCCCCTCTACACTGCTTTCTGCACATAAAGGATTCTGGATATGAGATGTCAAAACTATCATTACAAGCAGATTCTGAATTAAGAACAGATACCCAAGATGATAAAAACCAAACAAACAAAAAACAGCATTTTGGGTAGAGAAAGGCCTACCTTTAAACCTGAATGTAAGATCAGCAACTACACTGAAGATAATCTCCAGGGGGAAAAAAAAAATCAAGAGAAGATTCTAATCCAATTCTAAACTACTAGATCATCTGTGTCTTCTTTCCAGGAGCTATTTAGTCATTGTTAAAACCCAACATCTCATCCTGGGGTGAAACTAAGTAGCATTATTGTAAACTTTCTTTTAGGATTTACAGTAACTCTCTACTCATACTTACTCAGTGACTGACACATAGTAGATTCTCAATAAATGTTTGCTTAATGAATGAACCAAATAATCTTATAATCTACCTGTCAATATTAAACATACCCTCCCATTAGAGAAATCACATAAAATGCTATGAGATAATTCTCTGGTTGGGTTTTATCAACTTTGCAATTTTCTCAGGTATCAAACGAGAAATTCACAATAGACACAAAAAAGTTACGCAATCCACAACCTACTATTATGAAAAAGTACATTCCATATGGATGAGCTGGAACTTAACAGGGACATGAGAACAGGTATAGAAAGAAAGCATGATTAAGAAATTTATCCTATCTCAACTACCTGCTTTGTAATGCAAATCCCTGGCAAATTTATCACTCTCTTCTTTTTGTTATATTCCCTAGAATCAGGATGAACATAGCCCATTCCAGTAAGGCAGTTTTGAGGAATTAAAAGGAAAAAGATTAACAATGGAAAGAAGACCAGATTCCAAATGTGGACACGATGCAAATTAACTGTAATTGGAGGCAGTTCCTGCCATTCTCTGGTTCTCAGTTTTCATGTTGTAAGAAAAGAACTGGCCTAGATAGTGACTGTCAACCTTTTTTTTTTCTCTTGCCAACAAACCTAGGGGAATATTATGTACTCTCCATCAGGTACACTTTCTCAAGACAGCAATATTTTCTCAATGGGTGTAGGATCATATTGGAATAAGAATGAATATACAAAGTATGTGTGTGGAAGAAGCAAGGGAGAAGACAGCTAAGTGATTTTTCTAAAAGTTTCAATTTTACACCTTTGATCAAATAAGAACTTATTTAAAGCATATAAAGGAAAAGTTTCTCTTTTTTTTTTTTTTAAGATTTTATTTATTTGAGAGAGAGAGCAAGCGTGAGCAGGGGGAGGAACAGAGGGAGAGGGAGAAGCAGACTCCCCACTGAGCAGAGAGCCAGACTCGGGGCTTGATCCCCGGACTCAGGATCATGACCTGAGTCACAGGCAGACACTTAACCAACAGCCACTCAGGTGCCCGGAAAAGTTCCTCTTTAGAGAAGAATTCCAGACAATAAATGAACAAGGAATAATAGAATTCGAGTATCAATACTTTCCAACTCCTAATGTATTGAGTTGGTGGATACATGGAAGTTCATTATTCTATTCTTACTTTTATAACTGTTTAAAGTTTTCATGATAAAAAGTTTATTTCTTATTTATTTTAAAGATTTTATTTATTTATTTGACAGAGAGATAGCGAGAGCAGGAACACAAACAGAGGGAGTGGGAGAGGGAGGGCTTCCGGCCAAGCAGGGAGCCTGATGTGGTGCTCAATCCCAGGAGCTTGGGATCATGACCCGAGCCGAAGGCAGAAGCTTAACGACTGAGTCACTCAGGTGCCCCTAAAAAGGTTTTTTAAAAAGTCATTGGAAACCATTAAATTCTCACACCATGCCAAGTAAGTAAACAGTATTGGAATGACTATATTTGTGATCCCACATCCCCAGCTGAATCCTACTACACTCTGCTTAGTAGTTATGTCTGTGGGAAAACAATTCAACTGTCTTTGAGCCTTATCTGTAAATAGGTATAATAATCCCGGGATTGCCAGGAAGATCAAATGAGCTATGTGTAAAGGGCCCCAGAATAGCGACTTTAAGTAGTAGAACCTTTTTTTTTTTTTCCCAAAAAAAGCAACTTCTTTCCTGGGGCGCCTGGGTGGCTCAGTTGGTTGGGCGACTGCCTTCGGCTCAGGTCATGACCCTGGAGTCCCGGGATTGAGTCCCACATCGGGCTCCCTGCTCAGCAGGGAGTCTGCTTCTCCCTCTGACCCTCTTCCCTCTCGTGCTCTCTATCTCTATCTCATTCTCTGTCAAATAAATAAATAAATAAAATCTTTAAAAAAAATAAAAAATAAAAATAAAAAAAATAAAAAACAAAAAACAAAAAAAGCAACTTCTTTCCTGATACACGGAAGTCAGCCACATGGTACCTTGAGCATCTTTGGCATGCTGAATAGATTCTACAGTTTGTTTCATCACTCCGTCATCTGCAGCTACAACCAATACAACAATGTCAGTGACCTGAGCACCTCTGGCTCTCATTGCTGAGAAAGCAGCATGTCCTGGAGTATCAAGAAAGGTTATCTTTTCCCCAGAAGGCAGAGAGACTGTGGAAACAGAAATCCAAGAACACTAAGGACTCAAATATGTACTTTCTTAATACAAAGGAATATATGTGAAATTATCAAGCAGAATCAACAATTCTTTAAAATGACTTATTCCTTCCATTAATCTTAATGAGGAACAATACAGATCATCATTTCACACTGAAATATAACAAAGCAGTGAAACCCTTAGGGTTTTCTTTTCATGTAATAATTTCAAACTAAAACTCTATTTCTAGAATATACTTTTCATAAATATACCAACCGGTATCCATTCTGAAGAGAGAACAGACCAAGAGTTATATAGGCAGTCTCCCCTTCATTAGCAAACATCAGCTACACAACTGCCTTCAACAACAAAGGCAATTTAGTATATAGTTAGGAGCTCAGGATTTAAGCCCAAACCCAGCCTTGAGTGTAAATCCTGGCTTTGCCACTTACTAGCTGTGTACCCTGAACAAGTAATTTAATCTACACAAGCCTCAGCTTCCTTATCTGTAAGTAGGAATATTAATACCCACCTCATGATGTTGTTGTGAAGATAAAAAATATAAAGCATATAAATAAGGTGCTCACCACAGTGCTGAGCACATGCTAGGTGCTCAGTAAATGGTAGCTGTTATTTAATTATTATTAGCAACATTATCACAACCTAGCATTGAAGAATTGTAGGTTCATTAAACCAAACTAAGAATGAGCCAGAATAAAAAGGTAACAGAATTTTCTTCTTAAAGAATGTACAAAATAAGCTTTGTTAACCACCTGCTCTATATTTCATCAGACCAATGGCTTTAAGCTTTAGGCTTCCCTTTTATTTGAATTTGTCTACCTCATACTATGACACTTGGTTTAAGAAAATAGTATATAGGGTTCCCAGGCACACTGTAAGGTAATATGCGTCCATACCAAGAAAGGCACCAATGTGCTGAGTGATGCCTCCAGCTTCCATTGCTGCCACTTGAGTTTTTCGCAGTTGGTCAAGTAACGTCGTTTTCCCATGATCAACATGGCCCATTATAGTAACAACTGGGGACCTTGGGGTTAATAAAGCTGGATCTGCCTGAGGCCTACAATTAACAGCAAAGGAGTTTCATTTCTTAAATATCTTTACAGCCAGTGAATTGGTTTGCAGTCATCTCTGTGAACTACCATTACAATAAAACCCAACATTCAACTTTGATTAAACTATCTTCCTCTTTCATAAGTACAATGACCTATGGCAAAGTATATAATGACTGCCCACGTACAGTTGGCATCTTCGTAACAATAAGCAGACGAAGATTTTTAAGTTCAGGATCAATATACTCGGCAAACTAAGAAAAATAACCCTCAGAGTTCTATAACCTGAATATACTTACTGATGTTTTAAACATTTTGAAGAAAAGTTTAATCTACACTCCCACGTCATTTTAACGGCAAAAAAATTTTAAGGTATATTTTTCCATTATAAAGTGTGAATGAAACTATGTGGTTTCCTCCCCCAATATACATGGTTAAGTTTTACCTTCTTACAGCATCTTTATTTTCTCTGACTTTGTCCTGTTTTAATTTGCTCCATTTTAACTTCATCCCCGCCTTCTTTACCACTTCTTTGATCCAGACTTCATCTAAATGTGAGTGTGCTTCTAGTGAATCTATGTCAATAGCAGTGTTCATTAAAGCTTCATATACATGATCTGGGTGGAACAGATAAGACCTTTTAGGATCATGAATTAAATGTTCACAGAAGTAACCTCTACTAATAAATATCGATATATGAACAGTACACTCAATGAAAAGAATAACTTTATAAGCTGTTCCTCCAATGTTAACAAATCACAAACAAGCTGAAAGAAAATAATCTTTAAAATATGATTCATTTATATTAACGACCTTACTTCATTTATAAATATTTGAATATTTAGGTACCATAAGAATCATCTGAGATACCAATAAAACATTACATGTTGTATACATTTATACTGAGCAGTTTATCACAGCCCAGTTCTTTGAAAACTTGTAGTTACATACGTCATGCATATACAAATGTGTACACATAGATAGTCGATTCTCATATTCGTGGTGGGTATGTTCTATAAACCCACCACAAATACTGAATTAATAACTACTAAAACATCACTCTAAGGGGAAATACAAGGTTAGGTTCCTAGAGTTCCTGATCACATCTTCATTAGCCAATCAATACATATTATGTGTTTCCATTTCAAGACATCTTATTTAATATATATTGTCAATTCGGTAACGTTGAACTTACAGCCAAAAGCACTAAACCCAGTACATGAACAAAGTTTATCTAACACATGTGTTTTCTCTGTAAAGCACATTACGGCCTTCTTGCAAGTTAGTAACACTAAACATTACTTCATTCAGCACTATGCTTAGGCTAATCAGCAAAATCAACAAAAAGAACAAAAATGTGAAAACATGACACTTAAATAAGCCACAAAATGACAACTGTTTACAGCATAAAAGCTAAAGCAAGAAGGCTAAATGTTGCCTTGTTGAACCTCAGCTAGGAATGTGTGATTGGGCAACTCAAATTTTTCACTGCTCCAGGCATGTCCAGGAATGACTGCAAAAGTATTCTGAATATTGATTTGGGGGCTATAAATACATTTTAGAGAATCCGGCAATACAAAATCCCCAAATAACAAGTATCAATTGTATGTATACACGCACACATACACATACACAGTGTTTCAGAATAAACATACATATAATTTATTTATGTACCTATTTAGGGTATCCAAAAAGTCTTGAAATATAGGAAAAATATTTACTTGGTATTCTTTTTTGCATTTTATTTAATGTACTTTGTTTTCATTTCAGTCATATTTCCCTGTAGATGATAAATGAATGTATCTATGATGATAATGAAATAAAGCAGATTTATGTTTCTAAACTTTCACTCTTTAAATACGTATTTCGAGAAACAGATGTGAAACAAAAGGATCCTCAAATAAGCAGAATACTATATGAAAAGAATATCCTATTTACTAGTGTGCAGGTAAATGTTTACTCACAAGACTCTCCAAAAAAAAAAAAAATCCCTGATTGTTATAGCATTTCTCAATTTCCATAGTGCAAATACTCCCACCACGGTTGATTACAGCTACCAACATGAAGTCACTGAACACAGAGATGGAAAGAGATGGGCAGTAGCAGACCATTTACTCCCACCATTTAGGTACATGGCATAAGTAACCTCAAGAACACAGAAAATAGCAAAACAGTAAAAATAATTAGGAGTGAGGGGTTTGATGAGTATTTATTACCTTTGTTTATGATTTAATTTTTGTAATGGTTGTTTTTACCAGCTCACATACTTCCTCAGAAGTTAGCAATTGGCCCAAAAGCTGGTGCAAGCCAGGCCCACACATCACTGATCCTACCCTGTAAAGCCTAAACCCTTTCCTATATATAGCCCCACCACATCCTTTCCCAAGAAAGCACATTTTAAAAGAATGATACAGTGCAAATTTTCTATATGGATATGCAATGAGAACAATAAAACTCTAAACATATAAATTATAATGAGTACAATTCTGTTTCTACTAATGCTAAAATCCCTAATAATGCAGTAACTACAGTTTTCCCTCGTTATCCTAAACTTTTGAAAGTAGCTTATACAGGGCGCCTGGGTGGCTCAGTTGGTTAAGTGACTGCCTTCAGCTCGGGTCATGATCCTGGAGTCCCGGGATCGAGTCCGGCATCGGGCTCCCTGCTCGGCGGGGAGTCTGCTTCTCCCTCTGACCCTCCCCCCTCTCATGTGCTCTCTCTCTCTCATTCTTTCTCTCAAATAAATAAAATCTTTAAAAAAAAAAAAAGTAGCTTATACAGAGAATCTCTTTCCCTCTATATTAAATGCATTTAGTATTAACATATTATTTTATCTTTATCCAAGACTTAAACGTTTACGAATAGCAAAGTGCCCAAAGCAATTCAACCAGAAATATTACATCTTATTTTAATTGACCCAGGGGAGGAAAAAAATCTACTCACATTGCTAATATAGTAGTTAAAAATATTTACCATCTTTTTTTTTTTTTTTTAAGTAGGCTCCATGCCCAGCATGGAGTCCAACACAGGGCTTGAATTTATGACCCTGAAATTGAGACCTGAGTTGAGATCAAGGGTCGGATGCATAACCGACTAAGCCACCCATGTGCCCCCAAAATATTCGCCATCTTTAATTCAAATGAGATGCAAATATAATATTAAATAAGCTTCAAATAGATAACTTTTATCTAAATTATGTATCAGTTTTGGGGCTAGAGCACCAATCCATAGGATTAAACTTATATTTTAATTATACTATTTATTTGGCAATACAAAAGGATTATTACAGTTATGGGGGGGGAGGCAATGTTTTAAAAAAATCCTTAGGGAGCCTGCGTGGCTCAGTTGGTTGAGCATCTGCCTTGGGATTTCAGCTCAGGTCATGATCTCATGGGTCCTGCGATAGAGCCGCCTCAGGCTCCCTCCCCGCTCAGCAGGGAGTCTGCTTGGGATTCTCTCTTTCCCTCTCCCTCTGCCCCCTCCCCCCGACTTGTGCAGCTCTCTCGCTCTCTCTCTCTAAAATAAATAAACAGATTAAAAAAAAGAAAGAATCCTCATCTTTTAAGTAATACAGAAATAATTATGGGTTGATAGATTAATAATTGTCACTGGCTTATGCATATATTATACTTATTATTCCATTCTTTCTGCTTTCATATATGGATGAAAACTGCCCATAATAAAAGTCTTAAAAGTCACATCTATTATCAATATTATTTATAAAATTATATCAATACAGTTTTCTTTGGAAAAATTATCAATGATACAGCCATATGTACTTGTTCTCTTAAAGTTTTTTTAATAAAATGATTACATAATCCACCGCAAAGTTATAAAAATGCAAGACTGGGTGAATTTTCTATTCTTTGTAACGATGTATATGTACAAAGAGTGGTAACACTTTCAGGCAGGAAACACATTAAAATTCTAGCTCTGCTGTAATTTATAAAATAACAATTCTTGAGAGATAATTTGTTCTGTGAATAAGAGCATGGCCTCTGTAGCCATACTCCCTGAGTTCAAATCCTCACTCTACCACATACTGTGGCAATTATTTATCCTCTCCATGCCTCAGTTTCTTAGCCTATAAATAGGGGTAATAATTACATCCACCTGTAGTGCATTGTGAGAATTACATGAGTTAATATATATAAAGTACTGGTACATAGTAACAGCTCAATAATATGAGTTATTATTTTTTTTTCCAACAGTCTGCCTTGTCACTTTATTTTGCTACAATGATAGGCTATTTCTTATTTACTGAATTTTATTTTTTTTTAAGATTTTATTTATTTATCTGAGAGGGAGAGAGTGTTCACACAAGCTGGGGGAGAGAGGGCAAAGGCAGAGGGAAAAGCAGACTCCCCACTGAGCAGGGAGCCTGATGTAGGGCTCGATCCCAGAACCCTGGGATCTTGATCTGAGCCGAAGGCAGATGCTTAACCGACTGTGCCACCCAGGCACCCCATTTACTGAATTGTAATGTCACTTTATAATGAGAATTCAAATTTTGTTCCAATAATCCTAAATTGGTAATAAATACACCAAGAATGCAATGAAGGAATAAAAAAAAAAAAAAAAGGACAATGATGCTATACATTTATAAATAAAAATAGTGGGTGCCTGGGTGGCTCAGTTGGTTAAGTGACTGCCTTCAGCTCAGGTCATGATCCCGGAGTCCCGGGATCAAGTCCTGCATCGGGCTCCCTGCTTGGCGGGGAGTCTGCTTCTCCCTCTGACCCTACCCCCTCTTGTGCTCTCTCTCTTTCAGTCTCTTTCTCAAATAAATAAATAAAATCTTTAAATAATAATAAATAAAAATAGTATTATTAAAAGTTACTACTAAAAATATTTTTCTGCTGGCACTACAGATATTGTTACAAGTGAAAAAGAAAATCAGAAATCACAGACAACAAAGGGAAAGTAAGTAAGTATAAATACGGTCCTTCAGTCCAAAAACATTCTTTGGACTTACTCTAAAAGCCTATAGAATTTCTGAGAAACGGGTGCCTGGGTGGCTCAGTCGTTAAGCGTCTGCCTTCGGCTCAGGTCATGATCCCAGGGTCCTGGGATCGAGTCCCACATCGGGCTCCCTGCTCAGCGGGAAGCCTGCTTCTCCTTCTCCCACTCCCCCTGCTTGTGTTCCCTCTCTTGCTGTGTCTCTGTCAAATAAATAAATAAAATCTTAAAAAAAATTTTTTTTCTGAGAAACAAGGGTTAGTGCAGTTAAGAAAATATTTTCCACTTTTATTAAAAGCAAAATCTTAGAGAACTATATTTGGCAAAGAGGGAAGAAACTAATAAGAGTTTGTGACCTAGAGTGAAAAATACTGGAATGATTTAACATCTTTTTAAACCATCAGTCTAATTTTCATCTTTGAATGTCTTGGTCTCATTGCAAATAAAAATGCCAGGTATTCCATTTCCCATATTTTCCTCATAAAATTATCTGACCCACCTACGTCTTTTTTCATTGCTCTGGCCAGTTCCTCAATAGTCATTCCAATCCATACCTCCACCTCCTTTTTGGATTTTGTTGAAAATAACTGAGATTTCTGTGATCTTTCTTCCTATTAAAAATTCAGGACGCATAACAGAAGGAAAAAAAAAAACTTTAAGTGACAGTGTAGATTTATTCTGGAATATCTTACCATGGCTCCTATTTCTACCAACACTCCCACAAGTAGTTAAACCTCAGACTAAAATTTACAGTCCTGCACCCCTAATTCACTATTACATGCTAATTTCCAAGTAATCAAATTCATCAGCATTACTGAACAACAAATTAGAACTTCCCTTCTTCACAAAGATTTACTGCCTGGAGTGCAGCATTAAGGAATAAAGATTCTGGAAATTACAAAATACCCAAAATGGATTTCTACTCATGGCTATAGGCACTTTCATCTCAGACCAAATAATTAGTAACTGATAGAAATTTATACCTACCTTCTTTGTTACTAGAAGCCGATATTGAGATAAAGCCGCCCCAATGAGCGGGTCTGTTTGCCAGGGCCGGATGCAGAGCTGAGCTGTCCACACCGGGTAAGCAGATGAAAACACATGATTCCATTGTGCTAACATTCTTCTTTGACCTAGGCTGTGCAGCTGCCTAAAGACAGTGTGAAATCGTAGCAAGTTCTCCAATTTCAATATCTTCTGGTTCATGTTTCCCCTGGAGAAAGTTTTAAAATAGTATCTTGGTTAATATGAAAATCAAGTTAGCAAATATTAAGTGGATATCTACTCCATGAAAAACACTGTGCTGGAGTTAAAACAATAAGTAGAGCTAGAATCCTGCCCTGAAAGAACTCACAGGCTAATCAGGGAGATGGAATGCCATACTAACTACTCTCTAGATGTTAACTATCATTATTGTTAACGTTCCTACCACAATAGAACTGAAATACAACTTACAAAGGGATTTTTTTTTCATTCTTGAAACATCAACTAACCAGATCACAACTAGAGTGATTTCTCTAAAATGCAAATTTGAGCTCATCAGCTCTTTGCTAAACACCCTCCAGTGGCTGGCCATTATCCCATTCCAAAAAAATATGCTATATAAGGACTCATTATCTGCCCTCTGCTAACCTCTCACTTCATGTCTTACACTCTTACAGTTCCCTCCCTCCTATCTCCAAGCTTTTGTTATTCTGACCCCCTGTAATCTCCAATGGCTTGTCATCTCATTTTTGAACCTTTGCATATGCTATCTCTTCTTGGAATTGTCTTTCAAGGCTCAATATTTTTCCCTCTTCCCACCTCCCCCTCCCCCCAAAAAGATGCTTTAGAGAGGGAAGAAGGCACCTAATAAATATCTATTGAAAAATGCCTTCTGAATATTATTCTTGGAATGAAAGACGAGTTACCCAAGAGAAAACTGCAACAGAACTCAATGGTGTAGTTCAGAACTCAAGAGTATAGTTTTCTCCTTGAGTCTTCTTTCTGCTTTCAGTACTGCATTTCTACAGCTTTGCTTTTCAGTTTTTAAAGAGCAACTAAAATAATGTGAGATGTACGTTTTTTCTCCTCAACAAACATTTCCTGAGTACCATCTTCGAGACATTACATTTGAGGATGTTGATTCAAAGTTTAATGAGCTAGAGTCCCTTCCTTCAGAACTTCCTGTCTTTAAAGAGCTCCAATATAAGATTTTCAGGCACATGAAACACCTCAAGAATGGCACATTTTAAAAAATCTTATTTAGGTACATGTCCCTGGCTTAAGAAGTGAAGGGATTCCTTTAGGAAAAAAATTTTAATGAGTCTAAAACCAGACCTGACAAGGGCATAAATTAACGGAATGGAAAGAAAAGCACTACATGGAGACTAACCAAAGCACAGATAACTGAGGCAGGAATCAGAAAAACACACTGGGGGCAATAATCCAGCTGTGAAAACTGAAAGGAACCTTACTCGCTACTTCTACTCCAAGCTCCTCATTTCACAGAAAAGGAAAATGAAGAATCCAGAGAGGTCAAAAAGATTTCTCCAATGTCATACCACCAATTAATGACAGGCCTAGAAGACAGGCTGTCTGACTCCCAATTCGGTGTTCTTTCGCAGCTAGGATATTCGTATCATGGAATCTGAAAAGAGATGCTGGAAAGATGTGGCTGCGTTGGTGGAAACGGCCGAATGTAGGAGGTGTCAGCCTTGGAATTTATCCGAAAGGTAAAAAGAAGTCATTGTAGAAAAATGACGGCCCTGGTGTGGCTTCGCCTCGAACCCGGGCCTGGCAGCCGGGTCGCGCGGGGAGCGGAAGCCAGCCAGCCGCTTCGGGGCGAATAGCGCTTTCGCTACGCCTGAGGCGGGGCCATGCAGGGATTAAACGCCCCGCGGAAAGGCTTCCGGTCGCTCAGTGTTTACCGCCGGTGCCACTGCCACTTCAGGCCAAACAACACACGCTCCCCGGGACGACGCGGCAAAGGAACCCCACTCACTTCGCTGCTACATTACGCCTGGGCGTCCGAATTCTGAAGCAAAGCGGAGCTCACCTCGCGGACCCGAGACTGCCTTCGGTCAGTCCGGCAGTCCGTCCCTGAAAGGGTCCCCGCCGGACTTCCGGTACCGCCGGAAGCGGTCCTTCCCGGAATCGGAAGCCCGAATCTGAAAAAGCTGCGGCGGCCAGGAGTAGGGTTGTTGGAGGTGCCCCAGTGGGCCCCCAGAGGATAGGAGGGGATAGATGCTACTTCAGCCTGTGGCCGCCTCCCAGGGTCAGCCTCGCGTCGGCAGTCGCTTCTGCAAGTCCCTTCACTTTTCTGGGAGGTCCCTAACTGCCACCCTGGGGCTTGAGCGGCCTTGGTGCTGAAATTGGGAGAAATGACACATACCTAAGAAGGAGGGAAAAATGCAAGGGAACGTGGTGATAGAACCAGCTAGTACTGGGCGAGAGGCGCCTTCCCTTTCAAAAGTCGCCTCATTCGTTAGCCAGAGTTCCAGTCTCAGTTCATTCCCCGTTGTGTAGGCTTGGGCACGTTATGTAAACTCTCTGTGCCTCGATTCTGCACGATGGTAATGATAGCAGCTGCTTCATAGAAGAGCATCTGGTTCATAATAAGGGTTTATAAGAACATCTGGTTCATAATAAGGGTTTGCTGTTGCGACCATTACAGCCTCCTCCCAGAGCACTCCCACTAATTGATCGGACATGATGTCTTTTGGCCTGTCCCTTTGACCACAACCTGCAGCAGTTCTTAAGAGTATAAGTATTGTTTTAACTCTGTCCGTCAGGTCTAACACTACACTCGGCTAATGATACAGTACAGAAGAGTTTCTTACTCAAAAGCATACTTAACATTACCTCCCTCCCTTAATCTGGCCTCCTAACTCATGCCTCCTCCCCTTGATTTTTTTTATTATTATTTTAAGATTTTATATATTTGTCAGAGAGAGAGCACAAGCAGGGGGAGCCGCAGGCAGAGGGAGAAGCAGGCTGTCTGCTGAGCAAAGAGGTTGATGCTAGACTCCATCCCAGGACCCTGGGATCATGACCTGAGCGGAAGGCAGACACTTAACGGACTGAGCCACCCAGGTGTCCCTCCTCCCCCTTGATTTTTGTCTTCCCACTGCCTGCCACAGGTGTGCAATCGGCGTTGCTGAATGATTAATGGAAACCTCTGTCCTGGAAGTTTTTTTAACAAACCTAAAACCCAAACACTTGAAAACTATTAAAGTTCATTCCATTTGCTATCATTTTACTTACCATTTACAAACACCCAAACACTTGAAAACTATTAACGTTCATTCCATTTGCTATCATTTTACTTACCATTTACAGACACCCACTGAAGTACAATTTCTGCAAGAAATTGTTCTTTGCTTTATTTGCTTTACCAAGCCCTTGAGAAACAAGCAGGAATTGGTTGGTAGAATATCAAAGTAGTGCTCATGTCTCCCCCACCCCCGAATTTTAAGTGAAAATAACTGATACTTTTCTAATCATGAAGATAATACTAGTGGAAAATTCAAGCAATATTTCCCCTCCTCCAAATATATAAAGAAAGTGGCTAAAAAGCAAACAAAAGGATGAGGGCAGTTAAAGAACAGAGGAGCCAAGCTATAAGACCACCTAGTGGCCAAAGCTGGCAACAGTTGAGCAACGAAATAACACCGTGTTGGGTTACAACCCCAAGCATCAAATAAGTATACATGCATTCATGCTGATATAAAGAAATGATTGAATGAATAAATAGGGGAGAAGGGACAAATTCTCCCTACAGAAGAATTCTATATAATACATGTATATAACTGCCACTAGGAGGTAAAGCTTAATTCATCTCCACTTGAGGGCTGACTTAGTGATTTGCTTCCAGAGAATAGAGTATGGAAAGGGAAAAACAGTAACTGGCAGACACCATCTTAACCAACTGACCCAGGTAAACATCATCAGTGATGTCATGTTGGTATCACATGCCCCCTAAAATGATGTGATGAGGACATTTTATCTCTGTAGCATCCTTCCAAAAACCCACAACTCTACTGTAATCATGGGGAAAACATCAGACAAACCCAAATTGAAGAGCATTTTACAAAATATCTGTCAAGGTCATGAAAAACAAGAAAAGACTATCACAGGTCAGAAGAGGAGACATGAGGACTATATGTAATGTGGAATCTTGGATACAATCCTGGAACAGAAAAAGCACCTTAGTGGAAAAACTAGTGAAATCTGAATGAAGTCTGTAGTTTAGTTAATTGTAATACCCCAGTGTTAACTTCTTAATTTTCATAATTGTATCATAGTTAATATAACCTGTAAACATTAGAGAAAACGGGGTGGAGGACATTTGCGAATTCTCCACTGTCTTTGTAACTTTTCTATAATCTAAATTTATTCCAAAATTTAAAGTTTCTTCTTTAAAATAGAAAGTGAATCAAATCCTAAATCCCACCTATCCATAGGTAACCAATTTTATTATTTTGGTGAACATCATTCATTTATCTCTATGTATAAACACATGTACACATGCAATTGTATATAAATAATATTCATACTATAAATGCTGTTTTTGATCTTTGCAAAAATATATAATGGAAACCTTCCATGCTGATGAACATAGATCCATATCCTTCTTTTTAAATAACTGTGAAGGATCCCATTGTCTATAAGTGCCATACTTACATAGCCACATATATAGGTTGTTTCCAGTATTTAACTTATAAACAATATTGCATTGAATATTCTTTTTTTTTAAGATTTTATTTTTAAGTAATCTCTACACCCAACATGGAACTCGAACTTACAACCCGAGGTCAAGATTGCATGCTCTACCGACTGAGTGAATATTCTTGAGTATATACCTTTGCATGCCAGTTCAGTTCTTTCTCTAGAATAATGCCTAAAACTGGAAGCTCTATTTCCTTTCACTGGAGAATGGTATTTACTATCTAAGCTCTGGGTGTTAGGTGTCTTCATTGTTATTGGAGTTTCACTGCTCTCAAGCTCTCTGTGGACAAAACTAAGGAATATATATATATACACACATATGCACACATTTCATCCATATACATTGAAAATCATGAGTTCTTACTAATATCACCAATTCCAATCTAAGACCACAGGTTCACTCTAGTCTTTTCCTTTTCTAGGTTTGTACCTTCCTTTTCTGGCAGTGAGAAACTTGACTTTCAGCAACCTTGACGTATTTAATTATTTGAGCAATTCCCTTGTATGAAACTAATCTTCAACTTGGCCACCATCCCCTTCCCTGAGCTTTTTTCTCCCCACCTCTTTTCAGCTTGGACTCCCCAGGCCAATCCACCCCTTGAAGTAGATATCCTCCACACCCTGATTGGAGTAAAATGTTAAAATTAGGGGAAACAGAATGAAGGACATTTGGGAACTCTCTCCTCTGTCTTTGCAACTTGTCTGTAAATTTACATCTATGCAGAGGGAGCAAGTTGAAAGGCAGAACTAGTAAAAGTTCAAGCCATTTGCTAGAAAGGGAAGGGGTTCAATACAGTTGCTTCTGTTTTTTTTTTTTTTAAGATTTTATTTATTTATTTACTTGATAGAGAGAGAGAGCAGGAGAGCACAAGCAGGGGGGAGGGGCAGAGGGAGAAGCAGGACTAGATCCCAGGACCCTGGGATCATGACCTAAGCCGAAGGCAGATGCTTAACTGATTGAGCCACCCAGGCCTGGCCCCTGTTTTGGTTTTTTTGTTTGTTGTTTTTGCTCTTCTTTCGATTCAAGTTTGCTCATCAAGTGTATTTTATGTGAAGTACCAGACCCCCCTGCACACCCCATTCCTGCCCTACATCTGTGGATGCCTATCTTACTCTCACCTCTAATGGCTTTAGGACTAAATTGTTGAGAAAGGGGAGGGATACAGAAGGGGTCTTATTCCCACTTCATCTCACGTCCTTTGCTGGCCTTCTAAAAATCTGATCATGGGGCACCTGGGTGGCTCAGTCATTGGGTGTCTACCTTCGGCTCAGGTCATGGTCCCAGGGTCCTGGGATCAAGCCCCACATCAGGCTCCCTGCTCGGCGGTGGGCCTGCTTCTCCCTCTCCCACTGCTTCTGTTCTCTCTCTCGCTGTGTCTCTGTCAAATAAATAAATAAAATCTTTAAAAAAAATAACAAGTCTGATGATATTAACCATGAAACAAAACATTTTGGACATAGGAGGAGCCAACTTAACCACAAATAATATTTCATATTGCCATCTTCTTGGTGCGAGTCATTTCTCAGAACTATTAAATGATAGGCCATAAAATACACTTGATGAGCAAACTTGAATTGAAAGAACAGTAAAAACAACAAACAAAAAACCAAAACAGGGGCCAGGCCTGGGTGGCTCAATCAGTTAAGCATCTGCCTTCGGCTTAGGTCATGATCCCAGGGTCCTGGGATCTAGTCCTGCTTCTCCCTCTGCCCCTTCCCCCTGCTTGTGCTCTCCCGCTCTCTCTCTCTGTCAAGTAAATAAATAAATAAATAGATAGATAGATAGATA